AGATGCTAGCTATTACTTTATTCACTTCGCTGGTAACAACCTCTATGCTGGTTTTTCATTTCATCTCAGATGCTCCCTTTTACAATCTTTAACCCTGCTTTGTCACCAGCAGTTGCCTGTGCTTGTGTTCTCAGTAATGCGTTCAGTGATTTGACATTCAGCATCTCATTTGTGATGCCAAAGTTCAGCACTTCCATTATAAACCCGTTTTGTGGGGTTTCAAACTGCAGTGAGAATTATTCACTTTATCACAAAGTCTTAGCCAAAAAGGGGTTTTTCCCCTTCCCCATTTAAAGAAAAAAACCTGCCCGGCACTTTAACTCAAAGGATCTTCATTATTACTACTTTTGTTTGCAAAGATCAGGCTTGTGTATTAAGATTATCTTGTAGTCATATATAATATAAAAAAATTTTCATTTCAGAGGTTAAGTGCAATCAAGGGAGGAATCTGTCCATTAATATGAACTGTTTCCAAATTGTGGTCCACAGAGCACTTGCTGGTCTTATGGAACTGGCTCCCCTCCTTGTTTCCACCTGCTTCTACAGGCCCTCAGGTACTTCCATGACAAAGAAAAAGCCTACAGAAGCAGCTGGAAATAAGGAGTCAGCCTTGCAGCCTCTGCTAGGGGTTACTGTCACAACAGAGAGGAGACGGAATCCACCTTCAGTGATTGCAACCACCAGTGGGTGGAGCCAGGGCTGCTGCCAGCCTCCAGCATAAAAGAACCATAGAGCAGCAAGTCCAGGGCAGCACGGAAGGATGAAGCCAAAAGAAGGGAGCCAAGTGGCAGGGAGGTGTGTGCAATTGGAGAGGAGGAGCAGGTATGCATATGCAAGGTGAAATGAAAAAGGGAGCACAGAAGCATATGCAGAGAGGCAGCAGGAAAGAGAGAGGATGAAAATGGATAGGTGTGATTGTAACGAAATGAAAAACAAAAGGAGAGTGAGTATCTGTTTTCTTCATAAAGGACAAAATGCAACATTAAAGACAGTCACAAATACATACCTATTTTACTAACATTACTGTCTAAGCAAACGTAGTTGCCACAAGGATGTTATGTGATTGTGAACAGCAGGGGGTGCTCATGAGATTCTCTCTCTATTGAGATGTGGGCCACATTATAGAGAAGTCTGAGTTACATCATCTAAACGCCTTTGTCCTCTGGATGAAAACAACAGGGGAAAAGAGGAGATTTTGTGCTTAGCTGGGCAAATGTTACATGGTCCCTCTTGAAATTTCAAAAGTATTTATACGTGGATTTAAAAAAGGAAATGCAGAATGGTGTGGTGGAATATGGAGTCAAAATGTCCTGAGTTTTCTAAGCCCTATTCTGACTGCTCCTGACTTGCTGCCCTTGGGCCACTGACAGTAACTTCTGTTTGCCTCAGATTCTCTGTTGAGAAAGAGGGGATAAAAGACAGTTACCTTTTCCGTAGCTGGTGTTCTTCGAGATGTGTTGCTCATGTCTATTCCACAATAGGTGCGTGTGCTTCCCACGTGTCCAGGTGCTGGAAGTTTTTCCCCTAGCAGTACCCGTAGGGGGGAACGCCCCCCATGACCCCTAGAGTGGCGCCTGCCTGGCGTGGTATAAGGGCAGCTGCACGCTCCCCCCACCCTCAGTTCCTTCTTGCCAGACAACTCTGACAGAGGGGAAGGAGGGTGGGATGTGGAATAGACATGAGCAACACATCTCGAAGAACACCAGTTACAGAAAAAGTAACTGTCTTTTCTTCTTCAAGTGATTGCCCATGTGTATTCCACAATAGGTGATTCCAAGCTATATCTGTTGGAGGTGGGTAGGAGTTCACAAGTTTCCAGGACGGAGGACAGCCCTGCCGAACCCGGCGTCATCCCTGGTTTGGGGGGATGATCGCATAGTGCGAGGTGAACGTGTGAACCGAAGATCACGTAGCGGCCCTACAAATGTCCTGGATGGGGATGTGGGCCACGAAGGCAGCCAACGAGGCCTGCGCCCGAGTCAAGTGTGCCCTCACAATGGGTGGTGGGGGGACACCCGCCAGTGCATAACAAAGTGATCCAACTGGAAAGCCGCTGAGTAGAAATTGGCTGGCCCCTCGCGCACTCAGCCGTGGGAATGAATAGTTGGGAGGGCTTTCTGAACGGCTTGGTCCGCTCGCCGCAGAAAGCCAGAGCTCGCCGCACATCGAGCGTGTGGAGACGGCGCTCCTCATTGGATGCGTGAGGCTTCGGGCAGAGGACCGGTAGAAAAATATCCTGACCCATGTGGTAGGCGGAGACCACCTTCGGGAGGAACACGGGGTGTGGGCGGAGCTGGACCTTGTCTTTATGAAAGACTGTGTACGGCGGCTCGGAGGTCAGGGGGGAAGAGGTTGTGCATACCTTCCTCCACGTTGAGGGAGGAGGTGGATTTCGTAACATACCTTTGGTTCTGCACTCCAAGGGAGGTGGACACCTGAGTGCTGGGGCAAGTCCCTAAAGCTGAGTCTTCCCACAGCTGATCTCAGTGTCTGTGTCATTTATATAACTATGTCTTTGCCTCCTTATTCTTAGGCATCTAACCCAGATGGCCGTCTGTCGCATTCATTGGCTGCTGACAGAACCAGTGAGCTTGGGGCGGGGTGGATATGTAGATATTCAAAACCCTTAGCGGGGACGTAGTATTTTCTTTCCGCCTGCCTGGAGATGGGGGGGCAGGGAGGAGGGTGTCTGACACAGGGCCTTGATTAGTTTCACCACTCCCTCGTGCATGGCAACGTCACCTTGGAGGGGGCTGCTGCATTTAATTCATGGAACAGGGAGCCTAAGCGCTCTTCCAGCTCCTCAGCTTCCAGCCCCAAGTTCGATGCCACCCTCTTCAAAAGCTCCTGGTGGTCCCTTGCATCATCCTGAGTGACTGCTTGAGAAAGTCCCGCTGTCAGCTCATCGGACGAAGATGATGAGGAGGCAGGTACAGCTGGTTGTGTCAACTCCACTGCTTCTGCCGCGGCCGTGGCCAGCTGTCCCTGAGGAGCTTGCTCTGACTCCACGTCCGGCTCAGGGGGCGGGCGGGAGACTGTCGCCAACCATCTTTTGGATGCCCCCGAGACCAGCCGATGCCCCTGTAGCAGATGGGGAAACCCCCAAGGGTTCCATAGTTGTCAAGGGGCCGGCCACTGGCCCTGGGGCCATGCAGCCACTGGTGACCCAGAGGGGAATGCCGATGTCCCCAGTGCGTGACCTTGGTCTGCAGGCAGATCTTCCTCCTTGGGCTCTATATACTTCCTCCTCGCTATCAGAGCCCGAGGAGGGAGAGACTTGTCTGGGGGACCAGGACGGTATTGAGGCCTCCTGTCTACCCCGTTCCCGTTGGCTCTCTCTGCAGACCTCCACTGTGGACCTGTACCAGGATGGTGGCTCTCAGTGCCACAACTCCTGTGATTGGTGGTGGCCTTTGGCAGATTGGAACAGTATCCCGGAGATCAACACCTCACACTTTGAGAATGGTGCCACTCCATAGACCAGGAGCAAGAGGATCAGCATCTCAGAGACCGTCGATGTACTTGCGGTGATCTGTACCAGTGATCCAGAGACTGGTGATGGGGCTCCAGGAACCGGTGCCTCGATGCCCCGGAGCGGTGATGAGGACTGGGAGACTGACTTGGGTGCTCCCGGCACTGAGGCTCTGGGGACGTGTCTCTGCAGACCTGCGCCAGACTGCCAGCGATTGATGCCGGGACTCCGAGGAATGCTGCCTAGAGTCCAGGAACCAATGCCGGGAACTCTGGCAGAGAAGCCAACCTGCATCCGGCTGCTGGTGCTGTTCAGGCAAACGCTGGTGGGGCACCCCCTGTGACGGGGAGCGGTGCTGCACTGATGGAGACCTCTGGAAGGGTCACAGGGCGGGTTTACCCCTCGAAGGGGGCACCTCACTGGCTGGCGTGGGCAGCACCAGAAATGACAGTATGTTACAAAAAGTAATTTTCTCTCTGTTGATACTCACCCCTTCTTGTCAAATGTTGGGAATGGGCCACATCCACCCTGACTGAATTGGCCTCGTTAGCACTGACCCCCCACTCGGCAAAGGCAACTCCCATCTTTTCATATGCTGTATATTTATACCTGCCTACTGTATTTTTCACTCCATGCATCTGATGAAGTGGGTTATAGCCCACGAAAGCTTATGCCCAAATAAATTTGTTAGTCTCTAAGATGCCACAAAGACACAAAATATACACGTTATATATAGATGTACTGAAAAAGTAGCTGCTCCCCAGAAATATTTGAACTAGATAATTTTTGTAATAATAGTTCATTTAAGTTTTATTATTTTAAAGGTCTAAAAAAATCCCAATATCCTGATTTTTCCCTCTGGAAAAATCCACTCTAACCGGCAAAAAATTTGTCCACCAGTCAGTATTTGTCTACAGTGTCAATTGCTAAAGGGAGGTTTTTTGGGCTAGTGGAGTTATGAAAAATTATTATAACTGGTGGCAGAAACTTATTCTGTTTCTGTGAGAAGTGAAATGGTTATAGCCGTGACATTTAAAAACAACAATTCTTGAGCACTCCAAAAGCTTATGAAAACCTTCCTTGACGGGAGTACTTTTTTGGTTTCCAGTTCCCTGGAAACCTGTGGTGCCCTAGTACAATAGCGGTGAACAAGAAGTACATGCTTCAAGTTTCAATGAGATGGGAAGGAGGGGAAGAGAGAGAGAGGGAAACAGAATCACTGAAGAAAAATAAAGAAAAAGAAAAAGAAAAAGAAAAGAAACGTTATGGTTTTGCCCTTTATGAAAGAGATCAAAGATCAGAATCACCCGCTTGCAAGAAATCTATACAAAACGTTTCTTGGATGGAGTTTGCTCCAAGTCTGAGAATAAGCTCACTGAAGCATGGTAGTGATTTAAAAAAATAAAAACAAAGAGAACCCAGCAGACTGACATGAGGATGGATAGTTGAATAAATGGAATACAACATAATCTACTCAGGTCTGAAACCAAAGGCCCAGGAATTAATAGCTTTGATGAGTTGCAGTTACCTGGTGTGGCTGTTGGATGACAGGCTCTCCCAGGGCTGTACACTACAGCCAGTGATCGCATAGGCTCCCCCGCAGCTGCCGTCTAACTTCATCAGCAGAGCTTTTGCTGCATTCTCAGCTGTCTTCCTGCAGTCGTGAGCTCTCTTGAGCATCTGGGTAATGTTCTCATCACCTGTTTGGTCCCCTAGTTTGCAAGCAAACAATCAGTGTCAGAGCTTCGAAGAGCATAATAAAAATTAATACAAGAATACAGACTCCTAAAGATATTTTCACTTAATGCTGTGACATTAACACCTAGCTAGCAATTTGTGATCTAAGTGAGACTAATACAGAGAAAAAGAGAAAAGCTATGACATGTATTCATGTGTTCTGTGCTAGAGATAAACACATACAATGCTGCCATCAGACAGGACAAGTAAGAGACAGTTTGCTCTGTGCAAGACTGTGCTTTATCCTCATTTGAGCCAAGCATTGTACATCCACATTTTATGCTTGCTAAATAAGCCACATGCCCTTGAATATTAACCCACATGCCCTTAAGACAGCATTAAAATTGTGGAAGCGAGAGTACCAGCCAACAGGAGTGGGCTGGTTGGGCTCATCTCCTTGAGAAGATGCAGCAACAACTCCCTTGTATTTTCCATGTAGGGGTGGTGTTGTAAATCCTCACTGATCTTCATAGCCACAGACAGGAAAATTATCTGTGTTACCAGCAATAAGGATATACCAGGCAGTATGAAGGGCAGCGAAAGGCAGCATATTCTAGTGGAAAGAGCACTGGACCGGGAGCTGGGAGACCCGTGTTCCATTCCCAACTCTACCACGGACCTGCCTGGGGACTTCAGGCAAGTTGCTTGACCTCTCTATGCCCCAGCTTCCCCTTCCACCCTTTTTGTCTCTCCTGTCTATTTAGACTGTAAGGTCTTCAAGGCAGGACCTGTCTCTTACTATGTGTTTGTACCGTGTCTAGCACCAACAGTGCCTCAATCTGAGTTGGGTCTTGGTGCTAATGTAACATCAAAAAATAAATAATAAAAAGAAAAAAGCAGAAAATGCCAGGAAATTCAAAGTGGTGAGTTGTGCAACATCCTTCATTCATTCATTCATTCATTCAATCAATCTACTGGTTATGGAAGTTGCAGGAAGAGTAATGCAAGATTTCACACTGTACTTCCTGGCTTTTCTCCCAGTCTATCAGAACTTTAACACTATACACACATTCAATAAAATAATCACATACAAAACTTAAACAACATAATAATATCCCAACCCTTTCATCCCTGTTCTGGGTTTTCTGGTGGTTGACACCAGAGACTTTCATAATCATTCTCTCAAATAACAGGATGTAGAGAAAATCCAGAACTGGGTAAATATGACTTCAGTGTCTTATTCTACATTTCTATTCACAGGCCAAATCCTGAAATGCTTACTCAGACTCTAATTGGTCAGGTCTCAGGCAAGTTTCCCATGGAAGCCAATGGTAGCTTTACCTGCAAGGGACTAAGTAAGATATTAGGATTTGGCACCACATTTATTACTTTAACTAGCAAACAATCACAACCAGATTTGTGGTGCTAGACAAATCATTAATAAAGACAGATTCTGGGATCTGTGTGAATTTGGAAAATGTATATTTCCCCGATAGAGTGAGACGGCTCTCAGGGTTGGGGGGGAGGGATTATTCTGTGTCTAACTTTAAATATAAACTAAACTAATTTTTACTTTAAACTAATGCAAAACAATAACTTGTCAGGCCAAGACTCTTCTGACTAAATCTCTCAGTGAAGTAAAGGTTCACATCCAAGCTATAACCTCCTGAAAAACAAGATTTATGATGGAAATGCTGGCACAGTCTCCACTACAGGGTGTGAGTGGTAATGCTACTATTAAAAAAAAAGTTGACAGCAGACACCTATATAAATGTAGGTTACACCTCTCTTTTATAACCTCAAATGGAGAAGAAAACTAATACTTTCCTTTCTGGATTTACTTCTTGGCCACGTATCTAACTAGCAAAATCTAAGGCTGAATGCACATTTGCTCCTAATAAAGAAACAGCAGTACAAATTCAATACCAGACTACCAAAAGGAAGGGTTAGAGTCTAGAGAAAGAGGGAAAATAATAATAATAAAAAAAAAGCTGCTATGACCTTTCCTGCATGACATACTCTGCAAGGAGAAACACACCTACACAAAGACTTGCGCAAACCACTAGGAGAGATGCAAAATAAACTGCCTGGAAACAGCATAATAACTGTGGATCACTGCATCTAGCCTGCAGAAACAAGAGGTTGAACTCATCCGTCTTGTGGCTCTGAAACCAGCTGGTCGTTTGGTCCTTAAAAGCTTTCAGTTTACATTTCAGTGGTTCTTGAGAAGCTGGTGCTATAAATTACCATCTAAAGGCTGTGTCTAGGTCTCAGCACAGTATGGAAAGCTATTTTTCTGTCTCTGAAGATTTCATATACTTTCTCCCTCCCCTCCCCCCAAAGAAGGGCCAAGATTACTACTACCACTCCCTCCCATCAGTAAGAGGAATGAGCCTCTGTAAAACTAAGAGTTAGTTTCACAGTGAAAACATACATTTTCTGTCAATAAATAGGACTTTTGTGTGAATGGAACTCACATGTACCATGTTGAAAATGGACTAATAAACGGTCTGACTCTGTTATTAGGAAAGCACCATCCCCCAAAGAACATTTTCAATAGCAGTGTTAACTAGTGTCAGTGTGTGCTGCTGAGTAACAAAATGAAATAGAACACCACAAAAAACAGAGGCCGAAACCTCAGTCCAGGCAGTAAAACATGAGAATGAAGATGTTAAAATACAAGAGTACCATGGGAGCTTGGAGGTAAAGACTGCATGTGGTATTTTATCTGCATTATGGTATATTTACATGTCCAGATCTAAGACCAGATTTTTATAAAACACAATTTTTGTGGGCAAATACTGTGGCTATGTACACAACTGTGGTAATTGCAAGTGCAAATTATGCAACCCAAACCACTGCACTCAGTATGTGTAGTGCATGCTTGGGTGCTTGGAGGTATCAGTTTAATCACTGTGCTGGGTACATGGTTATTGCCCAGCAAAAGTAATCCCACAAGTCCAGAAGATGCATCTCCTGGAATACCGTATATGGTTTATTTTAACTTGCTTGTAATATTTTGTTTCGGTTCCAGTCCTAATTTTTGTGTGTGTCAAACATTTTATTTGTTCAGTTGAAAACATGAAAATAACCACATACTTGACTGGTGGGTAGCAAACTGTCAGGAGATGATTCACTATTGCAACCAGCCCCTGTAAACTGATAAATGTTAACAGAAGTGCAGAATGGGACTTAGAGAGTGACTCATTGAGATCTTACCGACAGACCCGACGCCTGCAGCTCTGAATTGACCAAGAATGAGACTCTGTTCACTTTCAGCCAAAGCCAGCAGCAGCTCATATGCTTCTATGCACTGTTCACTGAAATAAAACAAACATAATATCTGAAACTTAGACAGGATAATCAAATTAAGCGATCAACACTAGGTAAGTGGTGGTGGAAGAACTAGGCTATTCCCTTCTACTTGTATGATAGCAGGGACGTTACAGGACTACGGCTGTGTCAGTAATTGATTTTTTGATTCAATGGCAGTTCTGAAAATCAGAAGAAAACTTGGTTCAAGTCAGGCCAAATCTGAACTTTTCGGAAATATTCGGTGAATAGAAGAAGTTGACAAAAAGCCTGTTTTGTGTCAAATTCAACATTTCACACTTGAACTTGGGTCTTCCCTTAGAGACTCATTCTGTCCTTCTCTGGCCCACTGACTATTCAAGTATTTTACACAAAATGGACCAGTGTCAACAGGAGAAACAGAAAGAGACCCACCCCAGAATACCCTCCTATAACCCAGTGATTACAGCACTCATCTGAGTGGGGGAAGGCCCAAGTTCAAGTTCTGCTCCAATGACTGACTATTTCCAGGAAATAGAAAAGCTTCAGTAGGAGAGCTTAAGAGGGACCCATCCCAGAATAGCCTATGGCAGGGATGGGCAAACTTTTTGGCCTGAGGGTCATATCGGGTTTCCAAAATTGTATGGAGGGCCGGTTAGGGGAGGCTGTGTCTCCCCCAACACCCAGGCATGGCCTGGCCCCCACCTCCTATCCGACCCCCCTGCTTCTCGCCCCGTGACAGCTCCCCCAGGACTCCTGCTCCATCCAACCTCCCTTGTCCCCCTGACAGTCCCCCCCCCCCCCCCCCCCGGGACTCCTACTCCATCCACCACCCCCTGCTCCCTGTCCCCTGACCACCCCTAGACCTTTCACCCCGATTGCCCCTGCCGCCCCATCCAACCCCCCCCCCTTCCTGACTGCCCTCCCGGGACCCCTGCCCTATCCAACCCCCCTGTTCCCTGCCCTCTGACCGCCCCAACCCCTATCCACACCCCAGCCCCCTGGCCATCCCCCCCAACTCCCCTGCCCTCTATCCAACTCCCCCGCCACCTTACTGCGCTGCCTGGAGCACCGGTGGCTGGAGGTGCTACAGCCGTGCCGCCCAGAGCACCGGGGCTGGCCACGGCTCTGCAGCTGCACTGCCCCAGGAGCTCGCAGCCCCCTGCCCAGAGCATTGTGCCAGTGGAGCGGCACGCTGAGGCTGCGGGGGAGGAGCCGGGGCTAGCCTCCTGGGCCAGGAGCTCAGGGCCAGGCCGGATGTGGCCCACGTGCCGTAGTTTGTCCACCTCTGGCCTACGGCCTGGCAGTTCAGGCACTCAGCTGCAAGAGGGAAGCCCTGGGGTCAAACCACTGGTCCAGAGAGATCTGAACTTGGGTCTTCCACATCTCAGATAATGTGGTTTCTCCCACCAATGGGCAACAAGCCTCCCCTTAGATATGCAGCCTGTGAATGTTGTCCCCAGGCTGGCCCTAACTTATTGAACAATAGGAAATAGGAGAATTGGAACGACCAGTGAGAGTTGATCTTATCTTTCTTCGGAAGCGTGGATGATTCAAGTCAGTAATCTGACTAACAGTGGAGGCTATTTCTTGTGAAGTTGCTTTTCAATTTTCCATATTGTTCAAAAACCTTACCAAAATACTTATGTTTTTCTGATCCTATGTTAAAAATTAATCCCCTGTCCAAGTAATAAGACTTTCCTTAAGCCCATTTTCCCCACTGCAAAGAGATCACTACTGAACGCACCTCGGAACCAATCATTTCTGCTTTATTTAATATGTAAATAATATAGCTAAAATTTATTCACGGTCAACTTCCTTCAAAATGAACAGGATTTGCCCTAATGCCACAAGTGTTTGCTCCAAATTAGTCATGGTCGAAAGAATGTTCTAGAGAGACAATTTTTTACAAATATTATAAAGCAAATATAGTTATTTGGGATAGTTCCTCACAGTTCCTTTCCTACAGAAGACAACTTAAATCACACAAGTCAATGGAAGTTGTGGGTTCTTTCTTTATACCACCAAGCTTGTGAAAGATGCTAGACTGACGTTAGGAGAAACTGAAGTCTCCTATTTATCCAACAGACAGCTAACGCACAGACAACTCCAGCACAAGCTTCTTCACAGTGCTTCTCCAGCGTGCCCCAACCTTCACCTGGAAGGATAACTGCTAGACTGTGAGAGGGGAGTTCAGTCATTTTACCTAGTGAATCCTTAACCTCTTGGTGGGATGGCTAATGATCATGGCTGTCTATGTGATGAGGACACTGGCCTGCGAGCACCAACACACTTTAAATAGAGCAAGACACAGACTTAACATTTCTCAGACACTGATTTATTTCTTCTTGCTAAAGAAATATTGGAAAAATATTCCCAGCAACGTCTATCATATTAACATCCCAAGTTGCTTATTATGATCATCATCGCTTTTTTCTTTATTTTCTTCAGTAAAACCTGCAACGGTTGTTTCATGCACATACAGGAAGGAGTGAGAAAAACTAAAAAAATCTTCCCTAATTCTAATTTTCATGCTGTATTAACAAAAAGAAGAGGTAAAGCTATTTAGCGTGACAGAGCTAAATTAATTCCTGATGAAATGCCTCTGACAACAGTTGAGTTACGTATCAGACAATCACTAAACGTAGCTGCCTCATGAAAGTATCTAACCAGTGCATCTTTACTCACACCAGAATGGAACGGAAGCAGGATGTTCTGTTGCAGAACAGCAGCTTTATCTCCTAAAGTTCTGTAGCAAGTCTTGACCCTTCACTTTTCAGGCTCAAATTCCAGGCCACATATTTACATACCTGTACTGCAGTGCAAGTCTGAGTGCCGTGGCATTGGACTCATATTTCCCAACCAGCATGCTCATCCTCTCAGCATTGCTCTTGCACTCCTCCAACGTTATTGTCAACAAGTCATTCTGGGATTTTAAGTGCTCAATACGGCTGTAGAGAAGGAAATAATGTTTAACCCTCAAACAGTCAGAAATCTATTTGTCTTGAAAACACCAAAATGATCCCAGTTTAGAATGTCAAAGAACATTTGGCTGGCAGTATTTTAAAGTACTACAGTTAAATCCATTGGTTTCATGTACTGTGACAGGAACACGGGAGGATGTTTACTTAAATCTTGGCCAATCCCCCACCACTAAAAAAACAACTGAAGAACCAACCAAAGAACAAAACATCCCTTTTTGAATTCTCTGTTGCTTTCTCATTGCAGCAAGTCTACGTAACAGTGTGGTCTTATTACTACTATCCTTATACCCCCTCTGTCTTGCCTTCCTACCTTTTGGTCTTGTCTTAAATCAACTTGTAAGTTCTTTGGGGCATGGGCAATGCATAAAACTCTAGGGTATAGCTGACTGCCACTGTATTTAGCACCCAGCGGTCCGACATTATACAGGATCATGCTGGGCTGAATTGGGACAGACGGTCCAAAAATAAACGGGAGACAGGATCTGAAGCAGGAACTTATATAGCACCCTGGGGTACACCGTCAAAAGTCCTGTTTGGGTCCACCAGAGTACCTATGAGACGCCAGCTGGGAGGTTGAGGTGGATGGAAGTGGTATGCGGTGCTAGTAACCTCTCCCTTTTCTTTTATATGGTTCTTGTCTCGGAGGCCGAGTCAAGAAGCATGGTGGCTGTTGGGGCCAGAAGTGCTTCCTAGAAGTAAACAGAGCACTGAGGTTCAGCGACCTGAGTAGTACCCTTGAGTCCTTCAGGGTGTGCAGTCTTGTGTTCATCTGCTCCAAAAATAGTGAGGGAGTCCCAAGGACTGAAGCCAAGAGTATCGCCTCATGGTGATGGCAGAAGCCATTGTCCTCACCACCATGTCTGTGACATCTAATGCCGCCTGGAGAGAAGCTCTGGCAACATTCTTCCCCTCTTCTAAGAGGGCTGAGAATTCCTGCCTAGAGTCCTTAAATTTGGCCAAGGAGTCCCACAAACTGTAATCATATCTCCCCAGTAAGGCTCGTTCTCCGCCCTTTTCAAAATGGGGGGGCAGAGAAGATGGGGTCTGCCATAGGCATTTGACCAGACCCATTAGGACCTCATTAATGGGAAATGCCACCTTAGATGGAACTGCTGCTGCTGCCAGAATGTCAATGAGACTGTGGGATGATTCCTTAAACTCCTCAATCGCTAGCCCCAGGTTAGCTGCTATCCCCTTTAAGAGCTCTTGATGGGCCCAAAAGTCATCTTGTGGCCGGCCACGGTGGCGAAGGAATCCCCTTAACAATAAGGGGAGGTGGTATTATTTACACTAACCCTATTTACAATATATACACTATAACTAAACGACAGACTAAACTATGATACAGAAGAAAAAAGCATGTATAGGCACCTTGCCAAAGCAAGAGGAGACTTTTAGCAACAGTCACAGGTGGTAAGAAGGAACTGAGAGGGTGCGTGGCTGGCCTCACCCCTTACACTGGCACATAAGCGCACGGCACCAGAGGGAACTACAGCCAGCCTGACAGATACCACTGAGGGTAAAATCTCCGGCAACGGTGCATGCCTAATGTGGAATGGACTTGAGCAAGCACTTGAAGAACAACAAAAGTTCTATAGTGTGGATTGATCTACCCTGCTTCAAAGCGCACTATTCAGAACTTTTAGTGTGCACCAACAAGGCCACATGGACAGTTAGTGCAGGGCAGGCTAGTGTGAAGTAGATTTCCATCACAGCTTGTTGCCAAGTATGTGTTCACATAAATAAGCCCTAATACGTTAAACGTCAACATTGTTGACTACCTCACTGCCTATCATTTTGGCAGAGACATCAAGCTGCTGTACTTATCCATCATTGCTGAATGTAGCAGCAGGTACAGCTAACTGTGTAAAGGTTTACTCAGGTAGGGAATAAGGAAATCAACACCAATCACACCTCTCAAAAATTTGAAGTCACCCCCTCATCACTTGTAAATGGGGGAGGAAAAAAGTGAGTGCATCCCTTCCTCAGTAGCCAGAATAAACCCCTGAGTGTTTCAGGTTGCCCAAAGTCCCAGCGGTTCCCTATCCCGCTGTCAAAAGCTCCAGCTTACTTGCTTGACAACTTCTCCAGTGTTTGCGTTGTCAATACAAAATTCTGTAGCTCACTGAAAAGAAGGGGGAGCATTTTCATAAAATTAATTCATATCAAAATATATAAATAAAAAGCATACTAGACTGGACTAGAGCTGGAAAAAGCAGTAAGGGGGAGTGCAGTGCCACATAATTCTGGGATTTTTTATTTATAATTTTGAGCTCATGTAATTAATAAGACATGGGACCTTGGCTATGGAAGAGCGAATACAGTACAAGGTCCAGTGATACCAGCAATACTGTTACACTCATAGACTTTAAGGTCAGAAGGGACCATCATGACCATCTAGTCTGACCTCGCTGCAGATCGCAGGCCACAGAATGTCATTCACCCGCTCCTGTAATAGACCCCTAACCTCTGGCGAGTTACTGAAGTCCTCAAATTATGGTTTAAAGACTTCAAGTTACAGAGAATTCACCATTTACAGTAGTTTAAACCTGCAAATGACCTGTGCCCCATGCTACAGAAGAAGGCGGAAAACTCCCAGGGTCTCTGCTAAGCTGACATGGGGGGAAATTCCTTCCCGACCCCAAATATTGTGATCAGTTAGCCCCAGCGCATGTGGGCAAGACCCACCAGGCAGATACCTGGGAAAGAATTCTCTGTAGTAACTCAGAGCCCTCCCCATTTAGTGTCCCATCATCAGCCATTGGGGATTTTTGCTACTGGCTATTGCCAATGAGCCACAAGCCATCGTAAGCAGTCTCATCCTACCATTCCCTCCACAAACTTGTCAAGCTGTCTTGAAACTAGTCAGGTTTTTTTACCCCCATTGCTCCCCTTGGAAGGTTGTTACAGAACTTTACTCCTCTGATGGTTAGAAACCTTTGCCTAATTTCAAGTCTAAACTTCCTGATAGCCAGTTTATATCTATTTGTTCTTGTGCCCACATTGGCACTTAACTTAAATAACTCCTCTCCCTCCCTGGTATTTATCCCTCTGATGTATTTATAGAGAGCAGTCATATCTCCCCTCAGCCTTTGTTTGGTTAGGCTAAACAAGCCCAGCTCTTTGAGTCTCCATTCTCCACCTCAGCTAAAATGAGCACATTCACTGAGACAATTTGATTCTGAAAAATTTGATTATTCAGGTACCCCAGCAGAAAATAAAATACCCTGTTTCTAGAATGGTGGAGTAGGCATGCAAGTCCTAAGTAATAGCGTTTGTATATTTTAGAAAAAAATGCGACATCTACTGCTCTGCTCCATACTTCAGGGATATGGGGAACACACCACAGTTTAGAATTTTGGACATGGAAGAGACATGAGAAATAAATGATTTATTTACTATATGGGACGGAGAGAGATTCAAATCCACTACAGGCCTTAGCATACATGTTCGAATAATCATATTCGTAGAAAGAACTATTAATGTATGTTAAGATCACCTCTTCATTATCCAAGTTTCGCATTTATTTGGAGCTGCCAGAGACGAACTGGGAGTCAAGCATAAACATATGAGATACGCGACAGGCAATAATGAAAATAAAATCAATTTAACAAAACAAATAGTAGGCAAAATACAACAAGTGCATCTAACTTTCCATCTTACCTATTTAACCTCTCTGTTTCCACTTCAAACTCTCGGATTTTGCTTTCAGAGATAGCAGATCCATGTGAATAGAGTGTCTGAAAGATTTCCTGGATGTTGGAGCAGTCTTGGAGAGAATGGGCCAAGTGCTCAGCCACACTGCTAGACACCTGCACAGGGTGGTTAATAAACCTTCTGTGAGTTGATGGCTAGTTTTTAAAAATACTGTAGATTTAAAAGCAATACTCAGGCTCTCTGGAGAGCATCTATACTTTCAAGAAAGCTGAGCAAAAGGGCCAAATACTGCTCTGTTACACAAGTGTAAGTCAGGAGTAGCAATGGTGTTCTGCTGAATTTACATGGGTGTTATCAGAGCAGAATTTAATATACTACTCTTTAGAGATGTCTAACTTGGGGTGCAGCTGCATAACCCTTATTTATGTGAGTAATCCTCACTCATATTTATTGTCCCCTGCAGACAAGATGATTACTCAGATGAGGAAGGGTTTCAAGGATTTGGTCCTTGGCCACCAATTTATGGCAACTGCATGGACTACATTAATGTAAACCTGGAGGTTACACATGCGCATTCATTTATTCTCTCTCTCCTGTAAAATATTTTCCGTAAGATACTGTTTTTGTTTTTAACAACATAACAGTCACCCCGGGCTCTTTCTGCAATACTCATGTTAGGATGAGCTGTGTGCGCAGTTTATTATTTTGATTTATTATTAGCACTCACCCCTATGCTGCTGATTTCTGATCCTAGGACAGGTCGGTCAGACGATGAAGACTCTGACCTTGTCTTCGAGAGCTTCACTCGTTCAGCAATCTAAAAGCCACAAAGCTACACAAGTTACAGACCGGCATCCCACGTCCCATGTTCTCCACAACTATGCAAAATGCATCATCGTTCACACATTCAGCGTGCTTGGAAATCCCATGTTAAGTTGATAAATGAAAGCTGGCATCTGTGTTGTGACTAAGAGAGACTTAAAATTATTAGCACTTTATCTCTTCCTGCAGCTTGAGTTCATGGGTTCGCTTAGGGCCCTTGAAAACACCCCTGGGATTCTAGATGATACTTCCCAGTTAATCGCATGCCTGCACAGCAGCTGTGCACAATGAAGTCTGCTTCTTCCAGATAATGAGAGGCATCACGGCAGCACACAACAGCTCACCTTGGCAATGGGAATGTCATTGCTACTACTGCTCGTGCTCAGCTCTCCAGTACTGGGGTTCACGGGTCGGTTTGCGGAAGTGAGACGACCTGGGCTGGATGGACCTGTTGCCTGGATGCTCTGTAAACGTGTCTGTAGTTCCCGAACCTAAAATCAAATGTAACAGTCTTTTTTCACTTTTATTGTTTAGATAATTAGCTAGCTCTTTCTCCCTTCTCTGGCATCCAATTGATGATTTCTGACTGACAAGACCAGGGAAGTTCTGATTATTGTAAGGCTTTCACTGTGGAGGCGTGGGCATTGATTCAGAACTCTCCCCTACTGCCAGCCCCTTCTAACCTGTTCAGTGTGGAAATACACAAATCTGCTGCTACAGAACAATTCTTAGTTCCAGCTTGTTTTATGTAATCCCTTGAATGCAACAATATTATATATATAAGAATCTCCTTCTTTGGAATGAAGTTAAAATAATGCTTTGGACTAAAATTCGCAAGTGTAAAGAACGTGGTAAGTAGACAAAGATCCGACCGCTAGAGTCTTCAATGGCTGAAGAAAGAGGCTCTAAAACTGATGAAATACTTCTCATGCATAAATATCTCAGGATGACTTCACTGCATTAAAAGGCCAAAGTAATTGAAATGTAAATAATTTATTAATACTTTGAAAACTACAATTAAATAGAGCACCACGGAATGAGTAATGTCAAGAATGGGAACTTCTAAAAAAAGCACCCAACCAATAGTTTGCTGAAGCTCTCAATAACCACACATTTTGTAAATAGCTGCACTGTCCTCATTACATGCCAAAGGAATACAGAACTGACCCCAAAATAGTTTTAGGGCTAAGAAAAAAAAGGCTTGAAGAAGCCAAATGGTATTGCTGGGTAAGAGATGATAGGGTTTACCTCAGAATACTACTTAACAAACAAAGAATAAATGGCCAGCTTGAACACAGCAATTATACCATAGGGGAAATTAACAGAGCTCATTTTTCTGCAGAACCAGCATCCTGGCATCAAAGGAAAAGGGGGAAAAACACCCTCCACAGTTTTAAGGGGAAAATTCCCTGAATTACAAATAGTTTATTTTTAACTTACATATTTAACTTACATGTGGATTCTGTTAAAACAATGAACAGCCAATGTACAACTGATATTTTGCCAAAAATTCTAAAAAATGCAGTAATGTCTGAATTGTGTATGACCTGTCTCACAACCTCTTGTAAAATTCAGACTACAATTTCTATACCATTGCACAAGTATGATTTTATACATAAATATATAGTAGCACCAAACGTCGGTTAAACATTTCAAGCATAAGCCCTCAGTCAAACTTAAAGTTGTTGCATTAAGGGTTTGGTCATTCCCAGCTCCAGAGATTTTAGGTACATTATTATTGTTATTAATTTTTAGCATTATTATCCAGAGTGGTGGCCTCAATAAGTCCACTGTACAGATACATAAGATGACAAGGGCCCTGCCCCAAAGAGTTTTCAATCTCATTTAAGACAAAATAATTGAGTGTAATAAACAATACAAGGGAAAAGAAGAGAGGGAAGGATGAAGGTAGCAGTAATAAGAACTTACAAGAACTTTGGTTACAAAGGCTAATTGTGGGCATAACTTGATGGGTCATCCAGAATGGGACACGACGAACCTTACACAAAATGCATCCAATAGCTCGACCCCTTTATATTGTGCAAGGTCCACAGAAATGGAGTCAAACATGTCTGTGCAGCCCTTAAACCAGCACATGCACCTCTTCAATACATTTTCATTACACAGTTAAATTAGCTGTGCACATACATGTAAAACGCCTACACACAGCATACAATTTTAGGTTGGTGACTCAGGCTGGGTTTACATGTACATTTGACACTGATATAACAGGGTAGGAGTGCTGCACTGGTATAGAAACCGGTGAATTGCACTGAGGTCATGCTCACGCATGTCACTATTTATAGTGGTGCAGCTATACTGTTGCAAACAAAACAAAAACAAAACACCAGTGTAGACAAGACCTCAGTCAAATCCACATTAAATTTTACTAACATAGATAAGAGCATTTCTCTTAACAAGGCTATCTGCATGTCAAACTCTGACTTTCATTCCCGTTATTTAGGGGGCAAAGCTGTGCGAAAAATTTTTAAAAGATTATATCTATGAGAAAAGTATTTCCTTCCCTTCTCCTTGTATTCAAAATATTCTGTATCGTTTTTGTTCAAACTTAAAAAAAAAATCACCTTTGGCCACAGACCAAACTTGGAAGATTTCGGTCCCGAAGCTAAAAGTTTTACAAAGTTATAGGCAACTAAAGACAACGTGTAAAACTGAAAAGTGTCTGAAATCTTAACCACAGTGGTCATTACTGTTCCCATGATGCTATGTACACAGTCTCATACATACATTTTTAAAACCACCTTATATGGACAGGTTTCAGAGTAGCAGCCATGTTAGTCTGTATCCGCAAAAAGAACAGGAGTACTTGTGGCACCTTAGAGACTAACAAATTTATTTGAGCACAAGCTTTCACGGGCTACAGCCCACTTCATCGGATGCATAGAATGGAATATATAGTAAGAAGATATTTATACATACAGAGAACATGAAACAATGGGTGTTACCATACACACTATAACGAGAGTGATCAGTTAAGGTGAGCTATTACCAGCAGGAGCGAAAAAACAAAAAAAAACCAAAAAACCTTTTGTAGTGATAATCAAGATGGGCCATTTCCAGCAATTGACAGGAATGTGTGAGGAACAGTAGAGGGGAAAAATAAACATGGGGAAATAGTTTTACTTTGTGTAATGACACATCCACTCCCAGTCTTTATTCAAGCCTAATTTAATGGTGTCCAGTTTGAAAATTAATTCCAATTCAGCAGTCTCTCGTTGGAGTCTGTTTTTGAAGTTTTTTTGTTGTAATATTGTGACTTTAGGTCTGTAATCTAGTGACCAGAGAGATTGAAGTGTCCTCCGACTGGTTTTTGAATGTTATAATTCTTGATGTCTGATTTGTGTCCATTTATCCTTTTATGTAGAGACTGTCCGGTCTGGCCAATGTACAGGGCATTGCTGGCACATGAAAGCATGTATCACATTGGTAGATGTGCAGGTGAACGAGCCTCTGACAGTGTGGCTGATGTGATTAGGCCCTATGATGGCGTCCCCTGAATAGATATGTGGACACAGTTGGCAATGGGCTTTGTTGCAAGGATAGGTTCCTGGGTTAGTGTTTTTGTTGTGTGGTTGTATGGACAATGTTCCATAAAGCTCCTGACAGTGCAATCAAACACTGACACAGAGATGTTTCCTCTGGTCTACACTTTATTATTGAGCAGTGATTACTGATCACAAATACAGAGTGAACTGCTCTAAAGGATTTGTAAAACAATATCTGTAATGGAAAGAAAAATTAACCAAGTTTAGACCACAGCCAGGAAAACAGTTTTACTCAGGAAAGCACATGGTCAAAAACTCAGAGCACAGTCTAACCATCAAGGTACACTATTCACTGATTCAATATTTTGTTTCAGAAACAAGAAGATGAAAAAAGAGAGCACTAACAACCCTGAACTGTGCGGTCTTTTTATTAAACATACAAATCCAGAGTATTAGTTGAGTAGATTACAGGCTGAATTAATCATTAAAATTTGTAAATGAAATTAAGAATGTGTCCATTTTGCAGTGAAATTATAGTAATATTGAGTACTCAATAGTAATGTTGCGTAGTTAAACAGAACAAATTTGTCTTACCTGTACATAGGTGATCTCATAATGCATACATTCAGCAATCCAAAATCTCATTACTGGGTTGCCCCACCCACTGGAGAGCCCAGAGGCAGCTCAGCTAACTATTTCTGGTCACCAAAACCTTCTTGATATAGCTGAATGCACCATCTCCTCAGAAAGTAAATTTCCAAGCTACAGGTAATGGTAATTCTAGAGAAAAAATAAAGGAAGACCAGAGAAGAGGGATCGAGAGAGAAAAATGTTATAAAAGGAGGTTTCTCTGGATTGGTGGATATATGAATTAGGAGAAGACTAATTTACAGACAAGGTTAAAATTGTCCTAGCCTCTTACATCTATATATCCACCAATCTGGAGTCTCAATACTGGGACAAATAAGCACTGTTACTTGTTTTCATTATATAGTGTAAATTAACTTCTGATTGAGTGTTCAGTGGTGTACAGGATACACCTAGAGATACTGTCCCTTCCCCAAAGAGCTTACAACGTAAGAAGAAAAATATTGTTTATATAGCACCAGAACTTTCCATGAAATTTTTGTGCCTTAACTAAATGGAAAATGAAGTTGACAAAAGAAGAGCTAGGAAAGAGGGTTAAAATATAATGTGAGTGACCTTATGTTGAAACTACAGCTTACAAGTTCTGACATTTTCGAGACTGATATTGAGGTAGCACCAGGGGATGGTGTAGATAGTCCAGTATTGGAGGTCAGTGGTGGAAAAGCAAGGTGAAAGAAATGAGTTCTGAGGAAGGATTTAAAGAAAGAAATTGAGGATGTTTGGTGAGATGGAAGAGGAATGCCATGGCAAGTTTTGAGAGCAATATGAAAGAAAGCATGAAGTTAAGAGCGGGAGGGGAAAGAAGCAGAACACTGGGATGAGGTGTGGAGGGAGGTGAAAGATTTAGTATCAGGATGGCTAAGCAGCATCTATTGAGCAACACACACAGCATCCACTGAGGCTCAGAAATCTACTAAGATATTCAAATCTCCAAAATGTTCTCTCATTTCATGAACGCTCAAATATATGCGGACAACCATCTGTACGTACACTTTTCAGCACTTTCACTCATTGTGCAAACAACAGAACTTACACTTGCAGAACCCCACTTGCACATGAAAAGTGAGCCTGGTTTAGGAATGAAAATGGGGATGTTCCAGGAGCTGTCCTTCAGATTTCTTGCAAGGTCTTCTCTGTGTAGCTCCAAGACTTCTAAAATGATAAGGTCTAGGACAAAGAGATGGCGAGCATGCCTATGGTACATAAATTAAGAGCCTACAATAAAAGTTAGATTTCTCTGGGAAACAAAAGCTTGCAGAAAGAGTTGTTGGGTATATTGGTCTCTCAGATCATTTACTCACCTAACAGGGAACACAAGAAAAAGAAATAGTCACCTA